TTACCAAATTTATCTCTTCAAAATATTTAATTGCAAAATTCACTTTCTGAAATTGTTAAATTACTAAATCTGCCTTTTCAATTTATAACAAATCGAATCAATCAATTTATGTTTGAGAGCTTTCTCTGCGTTAGAACGATTGACAGCTCTTACTTTTATTGTTAACATTTGTAATTTAATTTGAAAGAATATATTCAGCTTTTCTTTCAGAATATGCCACCAAATTTCTTCGAGAATTCTCCTAATAGGAATGGTAGATACAATCATTTTTTGGTAATGACTTAAGATACAATCATTTTTGGTAATGACTTAAATTTACATTATTTTCAATGAATTGCATCTGATATAAAGATATTACAACCAAATATTTTGGTGGCGTCAAATTCCAACTGATCAGATTAAACATCCAAGACGTCCTGAGCTAAATTGGTAGCATGTTAGTTCTCCAATTATCAGCTTCCAACAAAAATAAACTGTTTTATTCTTTTGGCTCTCTTGTCTCACATCCATATATAGGCATTTCTACATCCGCCTGACATCTGGTCGAGCCTTTGTTCGGAAACTTGTAATTTCCGCTTTCAACCAGAAAAGTGAAGGATTTTCAGAACAACTTGTTCAGACTCAGCGGGAACTCTCAGCTCTTTGATTCAACTTTTTTGTCACGGTTTTCCCAAAATAATTAAATTTTCAAATCTTCCACGAACAGGCAATTAATTCAAACCGCCAAGATTTGCCACAAATAATAGTTCAACAAAAGCTTGAAGAAAAAGGAGGATATTGGAAAAGGCTTGGTATACTCATTGGAGCAGACTACTATTTCATTTTATGACTCCAAATGATGCCCATCAAATGACATCAAGATTCTACATAATCCATACTAAGGTTAGTTCTTTAATAACTGGAAGGGATATATTAGCAGATCTCACAATTATGACGTAAATAAAAAGAAGTTGGGACAGCTGCTGTTGAAACCAAATCGATGAGGGAAAGCAGTGTCATCACGACCCCAAAAATAGAAAAATTCTAGAAATTAGAACTTATAGTCATTCACGAACAACTTAATACTCATGATGACGAAAAAGTATTAAGATATTTCAAAGAAACAATCGCTAAATGAAATGGAAGGCATTTTGGTGGAAAATATGGAAGATTCAAAGTTTTACATAAATGATAATTATGGTCTTTGTCTCGGAAGATTAAAGATATTAATTAGGCGACTTCATACTGACAACTTACTTCTCAATCGATACAACGAAATAATTCAAGAACAAATGGAAATTAATATATTGAAGAAGTATTTCCAGAAATGAATCAAATTGTTATATAGCATTTGCTGCATCATGGAAGATCAACATCAAACAAATTAACAATAAAATTAAGAATCGTTCAGGATGTTTCCGCTCATACCAAAGGCATGAAAAGTGTGAACAATGTTCTATATCGCGGTCTGATTGCACTCCCACATTTAGCAGGCATAATGCTTCAATTTAGAGTGATGGAGAATCCATCAGAATGCAACTGCACATAATATAATGTTATCGTTTCCAAAGATTTTCATTCGGGATAATATCATCCCTCTTCTTACTGACAGCCCCTCAATACCACTTAGAAAAAAATCAAAAAGCGAATGAAAAAGTATGAGAAATAATGCGAATCAGAAGACTAAGAAATGTTTGAACCTTTGGTCGTTTAATATAAAAAGCTTCCATTCGAAAAATTCTGTCATTTGAAAAATTCAGTGTTTAATCTTATTGTTTAAATGAAATTGAAACTGTTCTTGTAGGGCAAATTACAAGTAAATAAGGAATGTCAATGCGACTGAAAATTATCTGAAACTTTTTTTGTGCCTCTGCTAACAATGTTGTATATTATCCCAACGTTTCCAGTATTGATACTTCAATGAAAGAAAATTATTGATTTAAAATGTAAACAAATATTTTATTCGGTCAAACCAAAAGATTAATAAGATTCAAAGTTGCAAATGAATTAAATTGGAAATTTAAATTTTCAACACTTACAAATTGTTATGCGGGACCTCAATAAATTCTCAGAGTGTACACATAGAGTGTCGGAAAACCGAAAAAAAAAATTTATTATATTTCTAACGATTTATCACTCTGTACCAATTCCTTATTCCTTTTCTCACAAAGCTATTCAATACTGCCATTCATTCATCTGTTGTTTCTATTATTCAACTCTGTATGTTGTGCCGATTCATTATTTGAAAGAAAATATGATAACTGGGTCGGTCTTGCTCGCAGAAAAGAAGCAAAGAGTTCAATTCAACTTCCACAAACTTAAATAAGTCAAACGAACTTAACTAATCCAAATCATCTAACTCTTTTGGCCAAAACGATATTTCAAATTCACGACAGTAACCTGATCCTTCATAAAAATCTCAGCAAAACACCTGTTTCAGCTTACTTCCATTAAAATGTGTTATTTTTGCTGATTTAAACAGCATCATTGGAGTTCTGAAGAAAGATTTCAGGAAGATAATTATTGTTAATCATCTGAATTAAATAAAAAATCTAGTTGTAAAGTTCATCCAACTAGTGAAATAGAGAAATTTTCTACTATAACGCAGATCAAGTAAATGTAACCAATATGCTCAAGAATTTTCAAATTACTTAATGATAGCTTAAAAAGAGAAAGAAAAATATCAGTCATATCTGTAGTCTGCAATGCATTTATAGATCAAATTACTAAAAATAATTATAAAAATTTCTATGCTTTCCTTATGTAAGTAATCCAATTCCCTTGTCATAAAAAAATTTCTCAACAATACAAGCACCAACATTGTTGATTAAATCTTCGAGTTTAAAATTACGGAATAAATGATAGTACCTAAATTAAAACAATAATGCATACTAGAAGTAATAGTAAGAAAAACAACAAAAAAGTAAAATATCCATGTTTTCATATATCGATATCGTGACTCTCCCGCTTTACTACAAAACTAAAGCTTGGCAAAAGAACATCATAAATTGTTGAAGTATTTGCAAAGTGACAAAATTCCATACGAGATCTAAGGGAATAATAACTTGAGTAGCTCCGTTTTAAATCGAAATGACAATCTCAAAATAATTATAAGGCTGTAGAAGTAGGTGAAAACTTCCACGATTACGTCGAATGAATAAACAAAATTCATTAATATATCTTCATGAAATTTTTTCAGATGATTTTCCAAAAAAAAAAAAAATGCAAAATAAACCTGAACATTTAATTTCTATTTCTGTAATCAATAACTTTATATGAATTAGATAGAAAGCAAGCATTAGCTTTAATTGATTCCTGACATTACATAAATTCATTTCAACTTTAATTTGAAGAAAACTTGAACTCTCTAAATGAAATAACTGCGTAGTAATGAAATATCCGTACTAATAACTTTGCTATTTCCAATAACATCAGTTTTTTTTTCCTTAGTATTATTGTCTATTGATAATCAGTATGATTCATATTCATTCAATAAACCAAATAAATCACAAAGCTAATGTGTCCTTTCGTCATCATTACTATGTTTGTTCTACAATACAATAAACTATAGAATTTATATAAAAAACAAAAGAAGGATCGTTTTTCTTCTTTTTTTTTACTTATTAAGCGGATAAATTAAAATATCAAGCAATCATTACTAGTTAAAAAAAAGAAAACTTTAAAAAGAAAGATATGATAAGAAATCCGTAAATGCTATCGAAGTAAGGACAGCGCATGTGAAATCTTATTAGTTGTTCATATCTCTGATACGTAATTACTATTATAGTATATGCATGTAAAACTTTTACATATCATATACGTGAATTACGACCTATTATTTTATTATTGTCATTACTATTATTATTATTATTATTATTATTATTATTATTATTATTATTATTATTATTATTATTATTATTATTATTATTATTATTATTATTATTATTATTATTATTATTATTATTATTATTATTATTATTATTATTATTATTATTATTATTATTATTATTATTATTATTATTATTATTATTATTATTACTATTATTATTATTATTACTGCTGTCACTGTTCAAATGCATGAAAAAACTGACTATCTTCAATTCCATGAAGTTATTTTCTTCGCAAGGTCATCAGAATATCATTGAGGAAATGAACGAATTAGCTACATTGAAGTTGAGTAGATCAGTGTTACAATTTTATCATAAAAATAAGTTTGCTCACTATGCTTTTTGATAATTTTACCGTTAGCGCTATTTTCTTTGCACTGTTTAACCTCCTTTTACTATGGAAGTGGTAAAGAACTACTAAAAGTGCTAAACTTACAATCCTAACAATTTTGTCAACGTTAATATCATGTGAGAAACTTAAGCTATTTATGCGTACACATAGACATTATAAATTTATAAAATCCAATAATATTTGTGTTTGATAAATTTAAATTTCCCTTATTGATTCTAAGCTTCATTTCGTGATAATTCAAAAAAATGACGAAAAAAATCAAATAAAAGGAATATTTCTTACTTGATTAATTAGCTACTTTATTTGAATAATGTCAATTCAGCTATGCAATGACTAATTTCTGTCGGTTCTAATTTTCATAAGGAGACAAATTGCAAAAAGTGTATTTATTCCATAAAATAAGATAGATTTATGAATATCAATAAAATTGTAAAATTTCTGCATCATTCCGATGATAGCACAGAAATGCCATACAGCTTCTCATTCTTGCGCACCTTATCGTATTTCTTCCGAAGTATTCGCGATTTGTTGATTGCTTTCTGTTACGGCTAAAATGAATAGTTTAGATATCATTTCATCACACCAAAAAGTGTGAAAAGTTTGCCGAAATTTGGCCTAATGGAGCAATTAAGTGCTTCTTTACATGGCTTTTTTTACATCACATTATTTACTGAATTTTGTGTTGCTATTATACAATTTCACGGATGTTTTTTCAGCACATTTTCATGTGCATTTCACTTCAAGCAGACAAATATGTTTGAAGTCCTGCTAAATTTGTGAAACTAACGTGGAGCTTTCGTACAATGCTTCCTATGAGCGCTTAGATTATTCTTATAGATGAAATTTTTGCCACAATTTTCGCAATGAACATTAAGCTTGTGTGTTTCCTGATGAAAGCAGAATGATGATGGATGAGTGAATGTTAACCCACAACCCGACACCTTGCATTCATAAATAAAAGGTTTGGGGTGCGTTTTCCTGTGAGATATGTATTCCTTGTAATTTTTCGTTTTCATAGTACATCCGACATGGAGACACTCGTAATTTTCCTCATCTGAAAAATTCTTTTATAATATTTGTTTTTATAATTCTATCATACCAATTTGAAATTAATTAATGCAATTTGAAAACTGATCATTAAAATGTGTGCTATATACTCCAATAGCTCAGGTCACAGTTCTTTACTGGTTTTCTCATGTATTTAAATTTTTTTTTTTTTTGTAAATTTTCCGCTGCGATGAAATCATATCCAGTCCTCGATTCTTTGCTGTTAATACCTACAATTTCACACATTCATTCCATTCCTTAAACAGCAGATACAGTTTATCTTTTTTTTATGTTGAATATAAATGAGAAGGATCTATCTCTTTGCTGAGTCTTTGTTAAATATTGATCTAATGAATTTTGTACTGCTATATAATGAATCTTTCTCAGCTGTGCATTTCACTCCAGGAAGGCAAACATGTTAGAGTTCTGCTAAATTTGTGAAACTAACGTAGAGCTTTCGTACAATGCTTCTTGTGAGACCTCAAATTATTTTTTGAGTTGAAAATTTTGCCACAGTTCCCACACTGAAGTTTAGGCCCATGTGCTTCCTGATGACTGTAGAATGATGATGAATGATTGAATGTTAGCCCACAACCGGACACTTTGCATTCATAAATAAAAGGTTCGGGATGTGTTTTTCTGTGAGCTATGTATTCCTTGCGACTGTTCATTTTCATTGTGCACCCGACATGGGAGCATTCATAATTTTTCTCATCTGAAAAACTGTCTTATAACATTTCTTTCTGCAATCCTATTATAGCAATTTATAATTAACTGACGTAATTTGAAAACCGATCATGAAAATTGCTGTGATAATATATTTCAAATAGCTTCTTTACTTGTTTTCATGTATTTAAATAAAAAATGTTATTGTAGATTTTCTGCTGCTCTATTTCCTTGTTGAGATTGTTTAAATATTGCATTACCTATTGAATTTGTACTGCTATACAACGATTTTTCTCAGCACATTTTCATGTGCATTTTACTTCAGGTAGACAAACATGTTTAAAGTTCTGTTAAATTTGTGCAACTAACATGCAGCTTTCGCGCAATCCTTCTTGTGAAAGAACAGATTACTCTTGCACTTGAAAATGTTACCACAGCTTTCGCACTGAAATTTAGGTCCATGTGTTTTCTGATGATTGTAGAATGTTGATTTATGATTGAATGTTCGCCCACAACCGGACACTTTGCATTCATAAATAAAAGGTTTGGGGTGCGTTTTCTTATGAGCTACGTATTCAATGTAATTCTTCGTTTTCATAGTACATCCGACATGGGGACACTCGTAATTTTCCTTAACTGAAAAACTGTCTTATAAAATTTATTTTCACAATTCTATAATGCAATTTAAAAACCGGTTGTAAAAATGTCGGTGATAATATATCTCAAATAACATAGGTCACGATTTTTTAGTTGTTGTTTCATCTGTTTAAACAAAAAATGTAATTGTAGATTTCCCGCTGTGATAAGATCATGATTCTTTACTATTTATACCACAATTTCATGTAAAAGCAAAAAACTTTTTAAGAAAATAATTTTTAAATTTATCGGATTCTGAGAACAGTAGGTGCTGCTTATTGTTTTTTATATGGAACATAAACGAGAAGGATCTATCTCTTTATCGAGTTCGTTGTATCAAATGAATTTTTTACTGCTATACAGCGGATGTTTCTCAGCTGTGCATTCCACTTCCGGTCAGGTAAAAAATGTTCAAAATTTTCTGAATTTGTGGAACTAACATGGAACATTCGCACAACGCTTCTTGTGAGCGTTTAGTTTATACTTGGAATTGAAATTTTTGCCACAATTTTCGCACTTAAGTTTAGGCCCGTGTGTTTTCTGGTGATTGACGAATGTTGACTGATGAATGAATGTTCGTCCACAACCGGACACTTTGCATTCATAAATAAAAGGTTTGGGATGCATTCTCCTATGAGCCATATATTCCTGGTGACTTTTTGTTTTCATAGTACATCCGACATGGGAACACTCATAATTTTTCTTATCTGAAAAATTCTTCTATAACATTTGTTTTTGCAATTAGCATCTTCCATTTATCATTTGGTAAATAATTGTTATAGTTTGGAATGTGATTATGGTTTTAATTTATATTAGAAGCAAAAGCTTAATGTTACCTGTAATGGAAGCACTTTGCAAAACAAATAACTCTGAATTTTTCGCAGTAACGAGATCAGTTATGTTTTCAAATTCCTTAGTATTTGCATCGTTAATTTCGCGGAAATGACTGAGATCTACGAAGTGCAGAGGGTCGGATGAAATGCTACTATGCATATTCTCACCATCTGTTCTCGGCAATTCTTGCAACTGAGAATTTCCTATTGTGATTGGAACGGTTTCGATTTTCGAATCTTCATTGCTTCTATGCTTACTTTTCCACAAATCAGTGAAATCGAAGTGCGAAAAATCAGATGAAATGCTATCCTCCAAATTCCCAGCAGATGTTCCTGGTAATTCTCTACCAGTATTTTCTGGTTCCCTTTTATGAGCATCAATGCTTGAACCTAGGATCGACTCCAAATTGCTATTATCAAGGATGTTGAAACTAGTTGAGAAGTACCCATTGCTACAGTCATCCCATGTAATGTCATCGATGTCGAGATTTAGTAGAGAGATAGTTTCATTCTCAGCCAAAACAATACAAAGCAGAAAGCTGAACCAAATAATTTGTGTCATTGAAATGAAGAGCAAAATGAAAAACTGAATTTTTACAATGACAGAAACACTCCATTGAAAGTTTTTATTTCAGATTGGTTGGAATTAAACGACCAAAGGTTCAAACAGTTTTTAATCTGTCTTATTTGCATCATTCCTCATACTTTTTCCCCTTCATTCTAATTTTTCTATTATTAAATTAATAGCTGATGCATACGCTTCTGGATTACACGAATAAAAGATTAAAAATCAATTTGTCATGCATGAAAAATTAAATTCATACAGCCATCAATTGTTACCTGTCGTGCAACTCCTGATAATTAATATCATTTCATCATTTTTCATTAATTTGAAAATATTTCTAAAAAAACTCTACAAGTGCGCAAGAATGAGAAGCTGCGCGACATTTCTGATAATATCAACAGACTTCATTATGATAATTCTAATCATTATTTATCAGATGAATGTTGCTCAATTGTTTCATTCAATATTTTCTAACTTTCCATTTGTTTTGCTTTTAATTTTCTTCTCATTGAGTATTACATTTTCAATTTACACTTAACTGACGTACTGTACAGGAATCTGACTGAAATGCTAACATTTCATGCTTAATCTAGTAGGATTACGTCACATGAAACACAATAAATCTTTTGTTATTCTCTAGTAAAAAAATCGGGTGACAAAAATTTTTTTTGAACCAACTGTGAAAGAATGTAAATGGATAATGTTATAAAGGAAATATACAACATTTTGACAACTGTTGTAAATTAAATTTACATATTTCGCTTTTGTTCTATTCCAACAGTTTTTCATCTGCTGAAATTGCATGGAAAGTATTATATTCCATTAATTGACCTCTTTCAAGTTGACTGCTCATTCATCTTTTATGCCTTGGACCACCAAATTGTTTAATTGTATTGTTTTATATCTCATTTAAAATAATGTAAATTCTGATTCTCGAAGAAATCTTAGCGGGTTATATAGATTCTGGTTGAATTACTTCTTTGAGTTAAGAAGACTCAAAGATTCAAACTTTAAATTCTTTAAAGATTTTTTGTTTCTCAGCTGTGATTTATTTAATAAAATTCCAATCTATGTACCAACTGGCGAGATGTTATTACTTCTCTGAATTGAGAAGATTCATTTTAACAAGAAAGCAGTCACAAAGTATTTTGAGGCTTATAGTGAACACTAAAAAATAGAATGAATATATTAAAAATATGAAAACACACGATGAACATTTTATTTATAAGCTAATCTAACATGTCATCATTCATCATTTTTTCATGATCACAAGAAAACATAATCTTTCAAAAGACCAAGAAGCGCCGCAATAAATCGTCTCGTCAATATCTCAAATTCAATAAAAATTTGAAATCATATTTGTAAAGCTGAAAAAGAATATTTGGAGAGCTATTTTACAAAATATTCATAATCTCTTGAAAATCACTCCATGTAAAGTGTTAAATTGTCAATGAGATGCCTGGCCACTGACGTGCACGTAGTCGATGGATTATTGGTTAATTTTTTTTGCTTTTCGAGATGATTTATTACTGTAATCCATTTTTAAAATCATCATGAAAAAATGTGCATTTTGTTAAGGTGGAAATACATTTGTCATCCTTTGTGATTGCAATTGTAAGTTCGATGATAAATTAATACTGTCATTTTCTTCATTATATCATATTACAAAATAATTACTAACTGTGAAGTGATGTGAGTTCTAACAACAGTTAATGCTTTGCATTAGGAAAGCTAAAGCAGTCAATGCTTCAGCATTTTTTGACTAATTAATTAATACTTTTTCTTTTTTTTGTTGTAACTTTATGCAATTCATTTATGCAATTTTTGAAGAGTAATCGTAAAAAATGAGAGTGACAAAATAATTTTAAGTTCAAAAAAAAGTTATTTAAGTTTTTTAAACTCTTTTTCTCAACCTTTCTACTTCAATTTAATAATGTTGAAATTCTTTTTTGCATCAATTATGTTAAACAAAAAAAAGTAATCAATTTTATTAAATAAAAGGAAAATATGTTGTAAGATTATTCACAACATTATGATCATCAATGTCTGTAAACATTAGTCATACGCATCTAGTCATAATATTATTTCAAAAGATTTTTTTGATTATTCAATCATCAGCACTGAATTACTTCGATAACTTATGATTCTATTAATTATCAATATAAGCATTATTGAATGCTTTAAAGAAAATAGAAGAGGAAAATTAAAAAAGTTGATTTCTTGATATTCTAAAATAGGAAATAGCACTTTTCCTTCGTTTTATTTCTCATTTTATTCTAAATTAATAATATATTTTGATTATTAAATATTTTATTTGAAATAAATACATAAATTTCCATACTGTTTTCGTTTTTGGTTTCTTTTGCTAAACACATGAATTTTTAATTATTTGCAGTCCTATTTAGTTCACAAAACTTAAAAACAAGAGCTCATTAGCGTGATGTATGTAGAATCGAAGCGACATGCAAATAAATCTTCAGCAGATATTTGTGCAGGTAAGGAGTTATGTGACATATTTCATCCAATTATTTTCTTGATTGTACTAAAAACAATGAATAAAAATTCTATCACAAATTTTAATTAATCAAACAAAAAGAAATATAACAAGAAAGTTTTAAAAATATATTAAACAAATCTTATTAAAAAATATTTTGAGTTAGGCTAAATAATTATTAATAATAGTATTATTCCATAAAAAATTTTACCATAGTTTTATTTACGTTTGTTTAATTTCATTTCTGATTACTATTTTCTGATAAAAAACGAGAAACAGTGAAATTAGTTTCTTTCGAGGCTGAATTAATATTATTTAAATCTGATCTAAAGAAAGGTTCGAAGACATAATTGAAAAATAGGGAATTTTTGCAGTGTTAATTATTGAAATTCGAGGTTTTAAGCGAATGTCCTTCTATCTACATTCATATCATTTAATTTTACTTGGCCAATATATATGATATGAGTTGATAGATCAATTTAAGATGACTTTGTCAATATTTTGTTCGAATCCATACAATCAGTTGTTACTTATTCTTTTTTAAATTACGACCAGTTGAAAATTTTCAATAAGTTTTTCTTGTAGAAGAAATAAAACGATTGTCGCAAGAACAACGATACATCATTCAAAAAACTTTCAAATATTTGTATAATGATCCCCAGAAAAATGGACAAAAAATTTTTGTTCTGTAAGAATTAAGTTTGCCTTTTAATTATTGTATCTCATAAAGGTATCGAACTGCTGCTTAATCAGTGTATCAAAAAAATCATTATTTTCACCGAAATATGATTATATTTATCTATCAAACAAAAATACAAATATCTCTGCATGGCTAACATACCAACCAATTTTTTATTTTCAAGCAAAAAATACTAAAATTTCAAATCAATTCAATAATTCTAATATACAATTTTCCAAAATATAGCCTCTATTAATAGTAATTATCATTTATTTAGCGATGAAATTTTTAACATCTATTAAGTGAATAATAAAATATGAAAAGTTATGGAATAGAAAAAAATAAATTTTAGTATATTAAACAATATTTTAAAAAAATGACAAATAGCAGAATAGCTTCAACCCGGTATAAAATATTTGAAAAAATTAACCCCAAATATTTATCAGCTGATTGATTTATTGTTAAGTAATTATCACTGTCATGAATATTTCCAAGTCCTTTATCATTATATGATTATAATACGTGCTCACCACAGTATCATTATAACAAATTACGTCATCCACTACATTGTTGTTTACAGTAATTTTTGATTTGTTCGATTATATTTTCAGTTTCTGCAGAAAACAGATGAAAATTAAGATTAAGGTAGACTGTTCTTTTTAACTAAGTGATGTGCAAAACAAGTGGAGGCCATAGCTATTTCCACGGTTTTTGCTGATTTTACTTATTTGCCACTTTTCTGAAAATATGCCTTTATCTTCAGACTACTCGGCGACTTCCCAGAATACAAACAGATATGGCCACAATTCAGTGGCATTCCGGATAGTTCAATCATAACAGCAGATGTAGTTAAAGAACACGGGTTGGTCTACTTAGCCGGGCTTAAAGCCATTATTGATAATATGCCATATGAAGAAAAATTAGTGAAAACGATAAACAGAATCACCACTGCACATTTGAAGTGGAACATTTGCAAAAGTCATATCATGGTATGCATTTTAACCTTATAATATTTTTAAAATGCCAATTTAAACTTCCATTATGGCAGTTAGTAATTTGAATTTGCTTGTACTGAATAAACAACATCTGCTTCACACTTGCTGGCTAAGTAATAATCTTCCTCGAAACATCACCCAATCATAAGCCAAATTTTGTATTTTACAGAAGTAACACCATAGGTAAGCATCTAGTTCACTTCAAGCCAGCGCATAAACACTCTATTATCCTTATATCATTCGCTAAAATTTCCTGTAACCTGTTTATTTTGTCTTCACTTGCATTTTTAGAACATGCTAAAAGAAGTGGTCGTAATTTTGCAATCATATCCGCATTGTCAAGGGAAACATGTCGAAGAAGCTTGGTTTACACTATTCGATGTGATTGGAAACCTAGTAGATACATTCAAGTAAAAGATAATAAAATATTGATCTCCCCTTCCATACTCCCGGGCAAAATCCAAACATAATAGTTCGTTTCTGATTAAAAATATACACTGCAAAATCACCTAGTATTTGTCCTGATCTACATTCTGCCAGGTCATATAATTATTACATTTGAATTATATTTGAATAGCTACTCAACTAAAGCATCAAATTACTACTTTCACAATCCTTATTTCATTTTTCATGAGCATATTTGTCTTGTCCTTGATGATATGCTTTTTTTTTTCTTCTGTTTTAACCCACCTCATAAATGCACTGAAAAAAACTAATTGAAATCAAACATTTCATAGCCTTAACTTTTCATTTAACGTAAACAGCACGGAATACATAACAATCTTATATTTCATGTTAACGTTTACGACGAAGCGATAAAGTATTACGACGCAACCAACACTTCCTACGTGAACCTCCCTTCGTTGCTGAATAGTGATGTCCTTTACCAAGACCTCGACTTCTGCGACCAGCAGACGTCAACCCACGCAACTCGCGATGCTTATGAACAGGCTTCGTTATCCATTGTGTGTCTGGATTTCTTCGAATAGCCTAAAAAGCAATAAAAATTTTTCGCTGTTAGCACTGATTATTGTATACCACCAACTAAAAAATTGTACCGTTCGCATGATTAGTCATAAAATACAATAAGTGTGCTTCCCGATGATAAAAAGGACAAAAATTAAAAACTTGCATAACTATAAGCTTACAAGCAGCTGTGTCACAACACGTTAACTTATAATACATCTCAGATCATATCTGTGATTCCATTATCTGAAAAAGCAGTGTAGCAACAATAAAATAGAAAACCTTATGAGCCGGATCAATCATAATAACTTCATAGAACTTGTATGTAGAATCTTGGCCAACCCAATAAGAATTCAATACACGAAGACTGCCACATCGACGCCCAACTCTCTCCTGTGAAAAAACGCTTTGTAATACCAAAATCTAATGAAACGGCTCAAAGAATAAAGGAAGACAACTAGCGCCATGAACCTCAGCAACAGACTGTTTACAGCGAGCAAATTTCAACTCATTAACGCCATGGTTTTTTGGTTTACCATATGTTTGACCTTTCACGACGTGGCGCTTACGACCACCTCTGCGTACTCTCACACGATAGATAATGTAACCTGAAATTTCAGTTTAATTCAAATTCTCCATAAGAAAAAACAAACGACAAACTGGCTTGTTTTTACAGATAGTCAAACAAGAAAAAAAAAGTTCTTTAGAATTTATTTTAATAAAATGAATCAAAAAATTACCTTGCTTCGCACGATAGCCTAATCTGCGAGCCTTCTCGGGGCGCGTTGGTCTGGAGACACGATGAATAGCGGTGAGTTGTCGATATTGCCAGCAGCGTATTCGAAGCAAATAGCGCATCGTCTAGAAGCAGAAAAAATAACTAGAAGAAACTCTTCCCTCCATTCATTTTTTTTAAACAACTAAATAGATAACTAAGCAAATCTAATAATTAGAAATCATAAGACCACCCGTTTAACAACTTATTTAACATCTCTTCTAATTACAAACATAAGCGTGTAAGAAAAATGATAAGTTATGACATAAATTTTTTAAATAAGAAATAGATTATTCGACTCTGTAGTAACATGCAGACAGTCAGCAAATATTCATTCGAAAAATCTTATCAAGTTATTTTCTTAAAGCTTCCTCACTAGTCTGACCGCTGAGACCTAATATTGAACTAATTCATCAGATTTTTAGTTGTCTCAGTTTTTTAATTTTTTAGGCAGACATTTTCAGAAACACACTCGCTTCTGACAAACCGTTAAAAATATTTGATAAGTTTGTAGACGAAAAAAGCTCAAACCTCTGATTGCTTCTTACGCCAAAGCTCTTGCATGTAACGGTATGCGCCCATATTTCCTGGAAAATATATTACCATTCACGTTATATTACAACGGAATATATGAAATCAATTCAAACTTGGATATATTTTGATATCACAGAATAGTAAAAGTGATCACCATGTATATTCATAATTTTGTCATATCATAAAGCAGAATTACTTAATAACAGAATTAGCTTGCACATAAAAGACTTGTTTCAAGACAAAATCATTTCGTGAAATCATGTAATTTTCTCTCTGACCTTTAGTATATGTTCATCGGAATTATCATGTCAACTTATTCAAGCTTATCACATCAGCAAAGACCTATTTTAACAATATGGAGCTATCCGGAAAGTTCCTACGAAATTAATGTTACTGGAACACAACTAAAGAAATAAACAAAGACGGGATGAAATAATAATGAGTGAAACAGTCAGAGGAAGAGAACTTTCCAGGAAATTTTGACAAAAGTAAGCAATTGAAGAGCTGAAAATAGACTAATGTAAGCTTGTTACTAGTATTTAAGCCAAAGATCGTGAAGCATAAATTAATCTCAACAATACTTGAATACCAATATATTATATAAGCGATAATAATAATAAAACGCAGCAATCATAAAGTCATAGTGTTGCAGTGGAATAATGCAATCCAACAATGTGATTAGGACACATTCTATTCGAGATAATCGATCATAACAACATATTTTAATATACATATAATATTCGTATGCAATGTTAAATATATTAAAATAAGTAAAACAAATATACGATTACCCCGTAAATTATGAACATGAAGAAGAAATTTCTCCGCTGTTAAAATTCCATTTTAAATCAAATCTTATCATATAAACCTCCACAAAACCGACCACAGAAACTACAGGACGAACAAATCCACCACCTACCAGAAACTAAAATCCTCCGCTGCATACGGTGGGATCACACAGGAATTGTAGTGGGATCTGGTCTATATGTAGCAGCTTTATTACTAAAGGAGAGGTTTGAACTCGAGTAGCCAAAATTTAACAGTTGCTTACATTTTCAGTGATTGAAAAATTTAGTTTTTGTAGGTTGGATGGGAAGTATTTGAGAGAAGTGCAGGTGGAAAAAGTATGTATTTGAATTGAATATCTGACTTTAACATGATTACTACTTTGTTCTTATAAAAGGTAAAGTGTTTATTTTACTGTATTACTTGAGTTAATGAAGAGATAAATAGCGGTGAAAAATGAAACTTGAATATCTGAATTATGTTTTCTTCTACTAAATATTAATATGAATGTTCATTTCTGCTATTTTTGAAATTCACTTCATTATATGAATGCAAAAGAAAAGAGAAATTTTTATCAAATACAAAATTTTGTTGAAATTAATATGAAATATCATATATCTGCAAACTTATGAGTAATTTCTACTATTGATAATACTTAAATTTACAAAATATATATATTCAGAAAAGTTTTAAATTATTCCAACCATATAAAAATGAAGTAAGTTCTTCACGGTATTTTTTTTTTCTAGATATTATGAATTACATTATAAACATTTCTAGTTTGATTTTGTAAGAGAGGTCTTTTTCTAACATTTTTTTAAAAGAAGTCTTTAAATTTTAATTTCACTCGGTGAACAGTATTTGCTTCACTTCTCATACTCATCACTTTTTTTTTCTTAGAACGAAATTTGATGTCATTATCAAATTTCGTTCTAAGAAAATTTAGCAAATTCAACAGCATCGACAAATTTAAGAATGGCGACAACTGATTCATACTATCGTTCTTCATAACGAATCGCCTGTACCAGCTCAAGTGCAGAAAAATATAATCCAATGGTCATTAAGCAGATGCCAATACCAATAATGAATTTATCAAAATTTCGATCACTTTCTTTTACATTTGCTCCTTTCAATTTCAAATGAAACATAGCTGGCCAAATGAAACTCAGCATAGTTCCAGTAATATTGCCAACTAGGCCCATTAATTCAATTAGGTATGGTACCGACATTGCCATTAGCAGTGTAATAAGCACCAAAATAATTCGTAAACAAAGTGCCCATTCACGTAAACTATGTCCAATACCATAGCAGCTAAAGCATTTTGTATCATTAGCATATTGAATAAATTTTCTTTTTTTTCCGTCTCCGGAAATATGTCGATATTATAGATTTTTCAAATCTTATCGGTAATGCTACTACTTTTTCCGCTTATTTCTGTATATTTTCCTGCACTCAATTTTTTTTTTTGTTTTCTTTTTTTATTTATTCCATTTATTTCACTTATAAAAGTGAACAATTTAGATTTTATGAAAACAAATTAGGGGAAGTTTAAAGAAAACCAATGAGTTAACTTTTTTTCTTTCTTTTTTTAATTCAATCTCTACCTTGTGAATAGTGTTTTTGGTGTGCCCATGAATAAATTATCTTTAAGTAAATGAACAGCAGCAAAATATGGTAATGGATATGAGAAAAGTGCTTTTATAACCAGTACCAAATTAACTATTACCTAAAAAGTAATATTTATTTTTCGTACAGAAATATAAATGATAGGGATTAGATATGATTGAAATTATGATAACAAAATCTGATGGCAAAACATTCCAAATTATGATTTTACGAGTGTATAATAATATTAAGTGGATGTAAATAAAATTTCAAAATATTTTAGGGTGGTATACAAGCTAATACTTCATTCATTTGAATGTATGATGCTATGCATACTTTTAGATAATTGTTTTAAATATTAGCAATAAAATGAAATCAGAAAAGAAGAAAGCTGAAGTGAAATGAAAATTTTAGGAAGTAAGAAAAGAATAGTTTTTTATTTTTTATCTTATAAATAGGGTGAACCTTAAATGTTTGATTTGGTAATGAATTGGAAATTTCCTTTTGCGTAAAGTCACCAAATGTTAGGAAGCCAAGAAGACCAAAGAGAGACTTGAAAATTGCTGCAATGATATGTGACCAACGAAGCATCCATTTAAATTTGGTTGGATCCTTAAATTATTACGTGATTAACAATTGATAATAATTATCAAAACATTAGTTTAAATTTTGTTTATCTATTTTTTTGTTAAAAAAATGATAAGTTTTTCGAACAATAAATTTTGAATCAAATTAAATTAAAAGTGAA